GCCATGAGCAGATCGTTGGATACTCAGATGCTGATTGGGCAGGATCACCTTGTGATAGACGTTCTACGTCTGGATATTGTGTCTTAGTAGGAGGAAATTTGGTGTCTTGGAAGAGCAAGGAACAGAATGTGGTTGCTCGGTCTAGTGCAGAAGCAGAANTATATATATATATATAAGGCTCATTGTATCATTGTTAATATTAATCAATGATATTTTCTCCCGTGCATTCTCACAGGCTCCCTAACTCCTGTCTCTGGAACAGGTTCTGTTGTTTGTACACATGATATTACATTATCATCTGTTCTCCATGTACCCGAGTTTCCTGTTAACCTGTTATCTATTAGCGCCATCACCAAAAAACTAAACTGTAGTGTCGAGTTCTTTCCTGATCATTGTATTTTTTAGGATCTCCAAACAAGGAAGAGGATTGGCAGTGGTAGATTGCATGATGAGTTATATTGGTTTGATGGAACTCGAGACTATAGTCATGCCTTTTTTGGAGGAAATAAGGATGTCAACCAAGAAATAATATAGTGGCATAGACGATTGGGGCACCCATCATTTTTTGCTTTAAAGAAGTTATATCCTAGTTTGTTTTCTAGAACTGAGTTTCAATCTTTGTTTTGTGATGCTTGTGAATTTGCCAAACATACTAGAAACTCTTATCCTTTGAGTGATAATAAAAATACAACTCCTTTTTCGACTATTCATTCTGATGTGGGGTCCTACTCAAACAGTTTCTTTATCTGGTAGTAGATGGTTTGTTACTTTTATTGATTGTTGCACTAGAATGACTTGGGTGTATTTGTTAAAAGCCAAAAGTTAAATTTTCTCCTGCTTTCAGTCATTTCATAAGATGATTTGCACTCAGTTTGAGGCTAAGATAAAAATCTTGCGTACTAATAATGGCACAAAATACATGGAAAAAAGTTTTGGTGCTTATTTGGAGTCTTATGGGATAATCCATCAAACTAGTTGTCCTTATACTAGTGCACAGAATAAGGTTGCAGAAAGGAAAAATAGGCATTTGTTAGAAGTGGCAAGATCTCTTATGTTTACCACGAATCTACCAAAACCTTACTGGGGATGCCATTTTAGTAGCTACCTATCTCATCAATAGAATGCCACTAAAAACCCTCAATTTTCAAACTCCTCTGGAAGTATTAATGGGTAAGAATGATTATACTGTTCCTCCGAAGGTATTTGGGTGTGTCTGCTTTGTTCACACTAAGAACATTGGGAAACTTGATCTTAGCGCCCTTAAGTGTGTCTTTATTGGGTATTCTCCAACACAGAAAGGGTACAAAAGCTATCATCCTCCCTCTAGGAGAATCTTTGTTAGCATGGATATTACCTTTTGAGAATCTAAGCCCTATTTCAGTATTACATCATCACCTCTTCAAGGGGAGAACTATAAAAGGGAAGAGATGCTAGTACCACAGGGGAAAGTAAAATTGAAGACAGAATGCAAGGGGATACTAATAGGCGTTTGGATAGACCTGATTTGAAAACTTACTCAAGGAAGAAATAGTGCAGAAGAAGTCATCATGCAATCTGCCGAAGCTGAACCTTCTTTTGCTGGTGAGTTACTTATATTTCGTAACGAGTTAGATGTACGTATTGGTCACAGAAAAGGAGTCGGATCTTGCACCACCAAACATCCTTTATCTAATTTTGTCTCCTATGTTTCTTTGTCTCCCTCCGATAGAGCCTATGCTTTGTCTATTTCTTCTGTGTCTATTCCCCAGAATTGGAGGGAAGCTTTTGCAGATCCTAAATAGCAGCATTTATGATTGAAAAAATGAAGGCCTTGTCAAAAAATGAAACTTGGGAACTTGTCACTTCACCAACAGACAAAAAGTTGGCTGGCTGCAAATGGGTCTTCGCTGTGAAGCACAAAACTAATGACTCATTTGAAAGATTCACAGCAAGATTGGTGGCTAAGGGATTCACTCAGACTTATGGAGTACATTATCAAGAGTCATTTGCCCTTGTTGCCAAAATGAACACCAATCATAATCATTTTGTGTCGTGCAACTAATCTTGATTGGGACTTACAACAGTTTGATGTGAAGAACGCATTTCTTCATGGAGACTTAGAAGAAGAGGTGTATATGGACATCCCACCTGGATTTGATACCAAACAAAGTCAAGGAAAAGTGTGCAGATTGAAGAAAGCCTTGTATGGACTAAAGCAATCTCCTAGAGCTTGGTTTGACAGATTTTGCAAAGCAATGATCTCCTTTGGCTACCAATAAAGCAACGTTGATCACACCCTCTTCATAGTACATCAAAAGGGTAAACTCACTCTTCTCATAGTTTATGTTGATGACATAGTAATGGCAGGAGATGACAAAGAGGAGATGACCCGATTGAAGAAGCTGTTGGCACAGGAATTTGAAATCAAAGATCTAGGAAAGTTGTAGTGCTTCTTGGGAATTGAGGTTGCTAGATCAAAAAGAAGAATCTTTATTTCTCAAAGGAAGTATATTTTGGATCTCTTGAAAGAAACTGGTATGACAGGTTGCAAACCGATAGAATCACCGATTGAAAGTAATCACAAGTTTCAAAGCGGAGCTGGAAAGTCAGTTGATAAGGAAAGATATCAAAGACTGGTTGAAAGACTCATTTATCTCTCCCATACTAGACCAGCCATAGTCTATTCAGTCAACCTGGTGAGTCAGTTCATGCATGATCCCCGAGATCCTCATATGCAAGCTGTCTTTCATATTTTGCGATATTTGAAGTCTGCTCCTGGAAAAGGTCTATTGTTCTCCAAACATAGTCACCTCCGGATAGAAGCCTTTACAGATGCGGATTGTGCTAGATCTCTAGATGATAGAAGATCTACATCCGGTTATTGTACATTCGTAGGAGGAAACTTAGTTACTTGGAGAAGCAAGAAGCAAAGTGTAGTCGCTAGATCAAGTGCAGAGGCAGAATACAAAGCTATGGCCCAGGGTGTATGTGAACTTTTGTGGATACAAAAGCTACTAGAGGAATTGAGATTGTCTGAAAAAGGGAAACTTTCCTTGTATTGTGATAACAAGGCTGCCATTAGTATAGCTCATAATCCAGTCCAGCATGACCGAACAAAGCATATCGACACTTCATAAAAAAAAGTTACAAGTGGTGTCTTGAGTTTGTTCCATGTGTCATCTGAAAAGCAGCTAGTTGATGTGTAGAGCTGTCGGGGCCGGGCTAGCCCAGCCCAGCCCACGCGGGCCTTAGCAATTGACGGGCTAGGTTGGGCTAGCCCACCATTTTGATGGGCCTTATAATGGTCAGCCCACCCCAGCATGTGGGCTGCGGGCCCCCACGGGCCGGCCCATCATTTTTTAAATATAATTTTATATTTTTTCTTTAAGTTCTAACCTAAAAAGATAAATATTTAAAAGTTAAAAAAATCTTATTGGAAAAAATTCACAAAACTTAATAACTTTTTAACTGTTCCAATATATCACAATAAACACTAAAAAAGTAAAAGATAAAGACTATTTTTTCATTTACTAAAAGTCAAAACTCAAAACAAACTATTCAAGAGAACGTCCATGACGCTTATGGGATATCCAATACATCATCTTCATCAAACATATTTGAATCCGCTTGTGAGAAGGTTTTCTTAATATCTTCACTTTCATCTACATCTACAATTCGTATGCAATATTAATTAGTTAAATATTAAGAATAATTAAATTTTTAAAACTAATTAACGTTTTAAGATTTTGATCTTTTAATATGATGAGCTTAATAAACTTTAAGTTTTGATATTCTTCTTGATATTTTTTGTGTTGTATAATTTTCATATTTTATATATTTCAAATACATATTTTTATTAGGCCCACGGGCCGGTCCAGCCCAGCCTCAGTCAAGCCTCACGGGCCACGGGCTTACTGGGCTAGGCTTAAGAGCCTCGTTTTTAAATGGGCTCTAAAAATTTTAGCCTAGCCCTGCTTAATCACGGGTTGGGCTAGCCCAACGGGCCAAACCCATATTGACGGCTCTATTGATGTGTTTACCAAAGGTCTCAACAAATGAACTTTCCATACACTAGTTTGCAAGTTGGGCATGTGTGACATCTTTGCACCAACTTGAGGGGGAGTGTTGACCAACTTAATTATAGGAGAAGAATCAGAGAATCAAATATGTAATTAATAGCTTGATTGTAGGAAGATTGTATTGTAGCTGAATATTCTCTCATTATTTTCATTTATTTACTTTCCTAGAATAGCCGTAGGACTTTTGTATAAAAGCATGTATCAGTAGGATGTAAAATACATTGAAATACAAAGAAGCCTTCTCTTTTTCTCAATTTCATCACTATAGAAACCCCACATCAGCACATTGCCATACCGATGTGGGACTCAATTCCCATACCGTGCAATGGACCATAACAAACCACCACACTCCGCATCTGTCGTCCCCGACGGCTGTGCGCTAGACTTTTCTAGCCCCGGACGAACACTGCAATACCGACGTTACCATCCATGGCACGGAGGGCGGTGGGTGGCTCTGATACCATTGATACAACCCAGGAAGAACCACACCCCAAAAGCTAACTATTAAGTTGGGAGAGCCCAAGGCTATATAAACTCCACATTAGCACATTGCAATACTGATGTGGGACTCAAGTACCATACATTGCAATGGACCATAACAGAGTAACATTAGACGATTTTACTTAGGCGAATATTTGTGACACCAAATCTGGTTATTTTCTTAGCTTTTTGATTAACTGTTCAATTATCAGATCTTCTTGATCTCTCAACATTGATGTGTCTTCATAATCTCTACGTTGATATGCTCGTTTGTTTACACAGTATACCCAAAATTTGTGCTGCAGAGTTTCATCCGCTTATCTGCAGTCCATTTCTTTGACTTTTGAGAACATCTAATGTGGTCGATTTTACTTACTAACACCCCCCCCCACCCCCCAAATAAAAAATGTGGACAAGCATTTCTTGTAGAATTTGAAGTTATATCTTAAGAACTCTGATAACTTCTACTTTGTTATCTAGCTGATGTGTTTGTTGCTTGTTCTACTATTAATACAGGTGCGAGTTGTTTCCCCAGATAAAGATTTTTTCCAGATTCTGTCTCCTTCATTACGCCTTCTACGAATAGCTCCTCGTGGATTTGAGTCAGTGCACCTCACTTCAGCATGTTGATTAATTTGTGCTGGTTGAGACTTGAATCAGTTGATATCAGCATTTTTGCACTGTTGATCAGTTTATCATACTTTGCTTCATGATGTATATCTGAGCACTTCATCCTTTTCTTTTACCTTTGGGATTGTATAGGATCAAGTCATCAAACTGAAATAGATGCCACAGTAAATTAAACTGCAGGAACTATTATGGTAAACTTGGGATGTCATGAGATGCACTTAGAATAGGGTAGGAGATACAACTTTTGCTGAAGTACTTTATTGTTGTACCCAAAATCAACTATTTACGTACTTCAGATGTTGTTTAAAGCACAATTGTCTTTCTGACTCTGTCCAAGTAAAAGGGGAGACATTCCAGCTAATGGATGGATTAAGCGTTTGGGGATATGGTGAATTTGATTCATATATTTATAAGAAAATTTGTTATTGTGCCTATATTTGATGTTTTTCATGGTACAACAACTATCGAGGGAACTTAATATGGCATGAGTATTTTGGAATTGATAGGACGGATTCTGAATTCCAGGAGTGTCTTGGAAATTAATGAACCAACATGTCTTATCAAGGAAGTACACCTTGAAATTTAATGGTTGACTAAGGTGAATCATGGACTAGCTTGGCATATCCACAAGTTGAGTCAGCATTATGTGGAGATAACTACAATGAGTAGTTCCGTTATCTTTAAGGATAAGATATAGTAAATGCTGCGCATAGTCTTTTTTCCCTTTACCATTAGTTTTCCTATGATTTTGATGCCTTCTGTTGTTTCATTATGAATTGTGTCCAATGATTTTGATGCCTTTTGTTGTTTCATTATGGATTGTGTCCATGGTTTTATTTGTCTCATTTTTCTGTCATCATACCCATGCAACTGTATTCTGCAACACTTTCTAAGTCCTTCGGCCTTTTCTTACATTTTGCAGGATGGTCTCATTTGGAATGGAGGATTTTGCTGGAAAATATGGAGGGCTAAAACCGTCTCAATTTGTTGATTTGATCTCACTTACGGGTGATAAATCTGATAACATACCAGGTTTATCTGTGCTGCCTTAAGTAAACTTTTCTGTATAATGAAGGGTAGATTGATGTAGATTGCTCAGGGCCTTCTCTTTGTTTTCAACTAAACTCGCTCAGGCCCTCCAACTTCTGAAACACCCTTAGCCAGAAATCTTCTGCCAAGAATGTATCAAGTTGCATCAGAAGCCTTTAAGACTTGAGCAAAAGAAAAGTATTAGCAAACATACTTAGGTCCATTTTCATTGGAGGTCCGAGTAAGTAATGTAAAAGTAATGCTGGCCTATTTATTGCATTCTGAAAGTTAAAGTTAAGTGATAACTGATCCAAATGACGAGATACAGAAAAATTTTGAGTTCTTAAAAATGGAAATGACTTGAGTGATTGTAGGAGGCATTTCATGGGACCTTCACTCTCATCGTAACAGCCCAACTGAAGAGGATAAAAAAATATCTGTATCTCATTACTTCGGAATCGGTGTTGTATAGATCACTTATAAAACATGGTGCTGTTAGTTTCATGTGCTCTCCCTGTGGACAGATTTCGGTATCTTTCCAATATATCACAGAGTCGATAACTCTGTTTAACTGGACCGAAAAAAGTAGTTTACTAGTAGATCTCATTCAGCTTCAGCTTAATGATAGTACTTCATTGGAATCTGTCATCTGATAAAACTTTGCTTTTCACTAATCTGGCATTATATTCTTTGTTTTTGTTTCCATGTGCAGGTGTTCATGGGATTGGAGATGTACATGCAATTCAGCTTATTATGAAATTTGGTAAGTTAATTAATGTTAGTAAGCTAGTCTGGAGATCCTTAATTTTGTCGGGCAGTTATAACTGCTTCCCCTCCTTTTGAAGGATAAATCCTTTCCATGATGGCCTCGTTTCCTGCATGTTACTGCTACACTTTATAAGTACTTGCAAATATAGTGCACATGAAAAAGTTTGTAATCAGAAGCAGGGGCGGATTTAGGGGGGCGCAAGGGGGTCCATCCGAAACCCCTTTGCCGAAAAAATACACTGTATATATAAGGCAAAATCTGTTTTTTACCTCTATATATTAAGTTTTGAACCCCCTTAACACAATCCAAAAGTGTAGTTTAGTGGTCAAGGGGGTTCAAAATCTACATAAGGTCATGAGTTCAATTCCCACTAGATACAATTTTTTTTTTTTTGAACCCCCTTCGTAGAGATCCTGCCTCCGCCACTGATCAGAAGTATTGTTAAAGCCTATAGGTTGCTGGGTTTCTAGATAACGTGGTTGAAGGTAAATTTTTTTTGTCCAACGCAATGGTCTGACATGCAAAATATTCACTCTGACTAAAAATTAAAATCTTGCCATTTCTGTCAATCTCTGCTCACTTCCCTTAAAAAAGAAGTTCAGATTGATTTTATGTTACGGGCTCACATTTACATCTCTCGGTGTCACTTTTTCCTCTATTCTTTAATTAGTAACACGAAAGCTGATACAACGCCCAGGGGCAGATTTACCTTATTAGGTAGGGGTGCCTCGTCACCTGCATGCCCATCTAAAATTCTGAGTATACATGTAGATATCTGTGACAAAACTGAAATGGTTTAAATGACACCTGCATTAAACAAAACAAATTTGGGTGCAGTGGTTCAGTGAGGCCTCTGAAATCTTTTATTTCATAATATATCAGAGTTCTATCCTCAGTGAAGACATCCCCGAGAGTTGTTGCCTCCTTTTCTTTGTTCTTTTCTTTTCTTTTCCCTACTTGTTATTCCTTTTGTTCTGTCACGACTAAAATCCTGATGACACCTAACCCCAACTCTCTACGTGAGCCAACATTTGCAATTAACAAAGCAAAACAAATAAAGGATAATTAGTTATGATATAAATAAAACATATTAAGTCTCACAACATCAACCAAAAGCTGAAAATATTATAATAATCTCCCAAAACCCGATAATACGAAATCATGAGCAACTAAATAGTGTACATCTGAATCGCCATATTAAACTACTGTCTGTACCAAAATAACTGTAGGATACATACGAAAGGGACTCCATAAGTTGCGAATCAAGTACGTCAGCTCACCACGGTGTCCTACAAGCTGCTAAGCGGCCCTCCGCTGGGTCCAATAGCAGGATCTGCACAAAAATGTACAAAAATGTAGTATAAGTACAAAACGTGTACCCAGTAAGCATCAAGTCTAACTCCGATGAAGTAGTGGTGTGATTTAGACAAAAGTGACATAATTCAATAACATGTTAAACTCATAACAATGTACAATAAAAGAAAGAAAAACTAAGAAACCACAAATACAAGTAGTAAGGTACACAACCAAGAATCAACTATTAAGCATGCTTTCCAGAAAAGTTGATAAAGGACGTAATTAAAGCACAACTTCAACATATATGGATGATATGCATCAAGTAGCATGTATATGCATGCCTCTACATGATTCTACAATGTCCATGCAGGTGAAAGAGTTTATCTCTGCCTCAATCGACACCCCAGGTGCTCGACACTTCCCAGGTGTCCCATATCATTGCGCACACACGGCCTAATGTAATATGGGTAATCACGTGCCTCCTGAGGATGGATCCAAATCCATGAGCTGAGCATCATAGCTCCATGATGAATCATCAATATCTCAGAAATCAGTCATCGGACCGCACAAAATGTACCATCGTGCCCAATCATTATATCCGCATGGAATGTCCCATCATGCCAACCTCAGTCCATAGCAGAGTACCATTGCATGTATGTATGTTTATGAACAAGAAATAAGCATATATGATGCATATGGACAGAGGAAATCACCATGCAGAGATATATGCATAAGTAGAAGTATGACTACCGCTACAACGTATAATCCAATATATCGAATAACCCATCATGTCAAAATAAAGCATCAAAAGCCTTGACATAATATCTATAGCATGATTTAAGCTGCTCAAGTAGTCATACAAACAAATAAAACATAACATTGACCAGAAGAAATATATCTCAATCAAGGCATAAGGAAGCCTAAATTCTACTCCCAAATATGGTATAACCTCAGCGCCCACATATACGCTCGTCACCTCGCATATTCAACCTTCCAATATGCTCTTTCCTCTATCATTGCCTTTCAAATGCTCCAAATCTAGCCAAATAATACTTAACGGAGTCAAATAAAGTCATAGAAACCAACTCCAAACAATAAAGCTTCAATCTTTAATCAAATCTCAAAGACCAAATAAAAAGTCAAGTCGGGGCCACATGGTAAAAATCCGAGTCCAAGGTCAAATCCCATTGACTTATAACTCCACGAGTTCAAATATGTGATTAGTTCTTAATTCGAGTCCAAATTGGTGTTCAAAACCTCAAAATACACTCAAGATTCAGACAAAACCCCGAAATTTCTCTCTTTGATTCCATGTTTATGTGTAGAAATTCATAGAGAATCAAGGTTTATGAATAATTCCAAGTAAGAATTACTTACCCTCAAGATTGGGGTAAAATCCATCTTTAAAATCTCCTTTTCCAGTTCTAAAAAACTCAAAAATGGTGAAAATAAGCTAAATCACGAAATCTGGACAAAATATACCCTGGGTCGAAATTGTGACTCGCTATCCCGACGTGCACCTCAAGTGATTGCGGAGACCAGCGTTTGAGGCCACAACGACTGCGATGCACCCCATGCGATTGTAAAGAACACCCATGCACACACCTACGCGATTGCGACCTCTTGCACGTGTACGCGAAGGAAAAATCCCTAGCCCCAAATTCAATCTACGCGATGGCCATCCTAGTCCACGCGATCTTGATTCACTGCTGTGCATAGTTGAGTCATGTTCCAAAATGCTCCAAAACCACCCCGAAACTCATTCGAGCCCTCGGGACCATATCCAATCATCCTAAAAAGTTCATATACCCTATACAAACTTGGGCAAAGGCTCGAAACACTAACACCAACATCAAAACCAAGAATAAAGCCTCAAACCAAAGATCTCAAATATTCTTAAGTTCAACCTTTCAACTTTAAATTAAATTTGTCGAATCATCCCCTGACCACCCGAGATCCGAATCGAACATATGTACAAGTCCCAAATCATCATACGAACCTATTAGGACCTTTTAAATTACCAATCCGAGCCCGTTAACCCAAAATATTGACTTTGGTCAACTTTTTTAACCTTAAGCCTTTAGTTAAGAATTAAGTATGCCAAATCAGTCCTGAACCTCTCGGGAACCAAACCACCCATACTTGCAAGTCATAAAACACCAAAGCAACCTGTGAGTAGCATGAAACAGGGGAATAGAGTTCGTGAATTCAAAATGAACGGTCGAGTCGTTACATTCTCCGTTTCATAAACAAATGTTCGTGCTCGAATGAGTTTAGAAATGTACCTGGACCGCTGAAAAGGTATGGATGTCTACTCCGCATAGCTGACTCAGACTCCCAAATTGCCTCCTTGCTCGATTTCTCCTTCACCGAAGGGATCTCCTTTGACCTCAACATTCGAACATGCCTCTCCAAAATAGCTACCGGCTCTTCTTCATAGGCCAAAATGCTCATCTAGATGCACTATGCTGAAGTCCAAAACATATGACCACTCTTCCTAATACTTTCAAATCATAGAAACATAAAATACCGAATGTACCCTCGATACGCTTGGAGGAAAAGCAAGCCTATAAGGCATCTTACCAACTCTTTCCACCACCTGAAATGGGCCAATAAACCCCAGACTCAACTTGCCCTTCTTTTCAAATCTCGTCACACCCTTCATGGTCGAAACTTTCAGAAGTACCGTCTTACCCTCCATGAATGCCACATTATGAATCATCTTGTCCGCATAACTCTTCTGCCTACTCTGTGTTGTCCAAAGTCGTTCTTGAATCACCTTTACTTTCTCCAAGACATCTGTAGATTTTTGAGAAGAAGCAAAGGCTTCTTTTATTTCTGTATATTTCTTACATCCCTAACTAAATGTATTTATACACTAGGTCCTATGACTATTTTAGGAAGGAAAATAAATTACAATCAATCAGAATCAAATCTTTCCTAATAATTAAGCCAATCAACACTCCAAGTTAGTGCAAGATGTCACACATGCCCAACTTGCAAACCAGTGTATGAAAAGTACGTTTGTTGAGACCCTTGGTAAACACATAAGCTAATTGTTTTTCTGATGGTACATGAAACAAAGTCAAGACACTAGTTGTAACTTTTTCTTTGATGAAGTATCAATCAATTTTCACATGCTTTGTTCGGTAATGCTATTGGATTATGAGCTATACTGATGGAAGCCTTATTGTCACAGTGCAAGGAAAATCTTTTTCACACAGTCTCAATTCTTCTAGTAGCTTGTGTAGCCAAAGCAGTTCGCAAACACCCTGGGCCATAACTCTATATTCTGCCTTCATACTTGATCTAGCAACTACACTTTGCTTCTTACTTCTCCAAGTAACCAAGTTTCCTCCTACGAGCATAGAATAACCGGATGTGGATCTTCTGTCATCCAGAGATACAGCCCAATCCGCGTCTGTAAAGGCTTCTATTTGGAGGGGACCATGTTTGGAGAAAAGTAGACCTTTCCCTGGAGCAAACTTTAGATACCGCAAAATGTGAAAGACAACTTGCATGTGAGGATCTCAGGGATCATGCATGAACTGACTCATTAGGCTAACAGAATAGGCTACATCTGGTCTAGTGCGGGAGAGATAAATGTGTCTTCCAACCAGCCTCTAATATCTCTCCTTATCAACTGACTCTCCAACTCCGCTTTGTAACTTGTGATTGCTTTCAACGGACAATTCTGC